TGCTGGGCCACAAACATGCCACCTACAAAGGTTTGATGCCCCACAGCACCACTGCTCATGTGGACAACTTTCTAAGGGCAGCCTCCCAAGAGCTAGCTGCTCTTCCTGGACCACAACCCAACTGTCTACAGCCACTATTTCAACTGGCACCAAAGCTATGAGGTTCACATCATTTCTTGGGACTAGCTGTGTTGCTGGGCCTGCCAGGCAGTATGGGAAGCTGGAGATCACCTCAAGAGTGTACAAAACTTGGCGTGCTGGTCTGAACAATGAGCCCATCAGAGAAGACAAATCTTCATCTTTTTGATCCTTCAAGTGTACATCTCCCTGACTGCTGAATCATGGAACTCATTTCTCTAAATATCTAGTTTGTAACAGGAAGGGTATCACTTACTCATTAATATTATACAGCACAAGGAGAGGTGGGAGGGTTCTGGGCTACCACGGTTCGATAATTAGGAGTTGCGCTCCCTCTGTAGTGGTTAGGCATCAGTGTTTAAGAGTAGCGAGACATCACTGCTCATCTTTAGGGGCATGTAGAAGAAGAAACATAACTACAAAAAGTCACCAAGTCTTCTTGCTCCACATTTGTGAACTATGTTTCCAAATACCATCCATACCACTCCCCAAATCCCTGAACCAAAGTGAAGCAAAGATCTGGTTTTAGAAAGAACCTTGTAGCTGAGTAAGAGGACCAAGGCCACAGCTCTTTATGTTAATTGGATTCTTCAAAACCTCAATTCCTGAGGAAAGCAGCTCAAGAAGCCATTGTTGGTCTTTGATTCCCTGACCCATGACTGAAACAAGGATGCAAAATTGTTTGAGGAGAGGGGAGATGAACATATGGGTACCTCACTTTACACAAGAAATATATTCCTGAAAAACTGCATGTAAATAAAACCCCCAGTTAAAATACCCCAAGAGAGTTCATTATTTAAAGCAGCTCTATGGAAAAGCCCTTTAATATACGAATAAACATCTAATTTATTTCTTCTGTACCTTTCTGCTTTTCTGTCACTTGAACTTTTTTTACTTGTTGTTTTATGTCATAGCGACTCACAGCAACCTTATGTACAACAGCTCTGAACCCTGCTCTATCCTGAGCCAACTTTATCGTCTGACACATCTACCCCCCATTACTCCAGTCACTGAATCAATCCATCTCATCGAGGGTCTTCCTCTCTTGTGCTGTCCCTCTCCAAGGACTGATCCCTTCTTGCAACATGTCCAAAGTATGTCACAGGAAGCTTCAGAATCCTTGCTTACAAGGAGTAGCCTGGTTTCACTCTTTCCCAGATGAACCTATTTGTTCTCCTAGCAGTTAATGATATACTCAATACTCTTCTCCAGCAACACAGCTCAAAGGCATCAATAATTTTTCTATCATCCCTAGTCACTGTCCAACTCTCTGATGCATAGCAAGTGACTGCGAACACTATGGCTTTGGCCAGGCACACCTTAGTCTCCAGAATGACAATGTTGCTCTTCAGTACTTTGGAAAAGTCTCTAACAGTAGACTTTCCTAATACAATTTGTCTTTTGGTTTCCTGGCTGCTGGTACCAAGAATGTTGATTGTGGAGCCAAGCAAGCTGAAGCTGTTAACAATCTCAATCTCTTTACCATCCACCATGATGCTACCAATCACCCCAGTGGTGAAAATTTGCTTTATTGATGCTGAGCTTCAATCCATATATAAAGCTGTAGTCCTTGTCCTTCTGCATAAGCACTTCAGATCCTCCTCAGTTTCAGCAAGCAAGATTGTGTCATCTGGATAACCTAGATTGTTGATGAGTCTTCTTCTAATGTTGATAGCCAAGATGAATGTCAGATGAGACTGTGAATATTGCACTAGAGCTCTGAGAAGCCAAAGCAAAGGGAAGAAATCAAGACATTAAGGAGCTGAACAGAAGATCTCAAAGGGGCAGCCCAGGAAGACAAAGTAAAATAGTACAATGAAATGTGCCAAGAACTGGAGTCAGAAAATCAAAAGGGCCAAACTCGCTCAGCATTTCTTAAGCTGAAGTAACTAAAGAACAAATTTAAGCTTTCAGTTGCAATACTTAAGTATGCTTTGGGCAGAATATTAAATAATCCAAGAAGCATGAGGATGGAAGGAGTATACAGGGTCACTGTACCAAAAGGAATTGGCTGACACAGAAGAATTTCATGATGCAACGTATGAGCAAGAGCCTGTGGTGATGAATGAAGAAGTTCAAGCTGCTCTGAAAGAATCGGCAAAAACAAGGCCCCAGTAATTGACAGCATACCAATTGACATGTTTCAACAAACAGACACCGTCCTTAATGCACTCACTAAGTTGTGCCAAGAAATCTGGAGGACAACCACCAGCCAACTGACTGGAAGAGATCCATCTTCCCATTTCAAAGAAAAGTGACTCGGCAGAATGTGGAAATTATTGAACAGTATCATTAATAACCCATGCAAGCAAGATTCTGCTGAAGATTATCCAAAAACGACGGGACCAGCACATCAACAGAGAATTGCCAGATGTGCAGTCTGGGTTTAGAAGAGGCCATGGTACTTGGGATATTAGCTCATGTTAGATGAATCTTGGTTGAAGGCAGAGAGTACCAGAGGAATGTCTGTTTACCACTGACTACGTAAAGGTATCTGTTTGTGTGGATCACAACAAACTGTGGCTAACTTTGAGAAAAATGGGAATCCCAGAACACCTGATTGTGCTTACGCGAAACCTATACTTGTACTAGGAGGCAGTCATGAGAAAAGAGCTAGAAAACAGTGCATGGTTCAAAATCGGAAAGGGTGTATGCCAGGGATATGTCCTATCTCAGTATCTTTCCAACCTATATGCAGAACAGATCATCCAGGAGGCTGGACTCTACGAGGAGGAATATGGCATTAGGACTGGAGGAAGACTCTTCAACAACCTTTTTTTTTAATAAGTGTATGAAAATTACAGATGTGACAATAAGGCAGAAGCTACATTCTCCTTTCTTACTAGAAAACCAGCATGTGTTACAAAAGCAAAGAAGGAAGTCCCAGAGCCACTTTCCATGGTATTTATTTTGTGTCTTTACTGGACCTGCTATTTAAATTGTAATGTCATTCCTGCAAGGATGCTGCCACTACTCTGCAGAGAACTGAAAGACATTGTATTCCATTATGGAGCCATGCAAATTTCTGGGGTTTTTAGTTAAATGTGTAGATCCTAAGGAATGGAACAAAACTAGTGCCTACATTATCTTCTTTGTCTACTGTTGGATCTGTAATTCTTATTGCTATCAGCAAGTTCCCTTCTACTCTGTAATAGGACAGCATACCGTATCTTCATATTATGGACATCTTTAAGATAGTGCCATGGACTACTCTTGAATAGACAGCTATTAACTTTAAACATTCTTGAATGAGTAACATGTTTAATAGTCTACTCTGTACCAAACACTGGGAAGTTAGAAAAATATATAAGGTCTCTCTTTTTAAGGCACTTACAATGAATGTGTCACTGCCAAAAATTAGTGAACTTTGATAAAATGGTTGGCAAAATGTGTTTGTTTAAAATAGCATTCTTCATTATGCAAACCATTTATCAATTACTAAAAATATTTACAGACTGATAATCCTAATCATGTTAAACAGAGAAAAGACTGAAGGTGAGATAAGACTGAAGATTTAATTTACTTGGATCCATAACTAACTGAGGAAGCATCAGTCAAGAAATAAAATAAAAATCAAATGACATATTACACTGAGAAAATCTGCTATAAAGGACTATTTCAAATTGCTAAAAAGCAAGAATGTTACTTTGAAGACTAAGATGTGCCTAACCCAAGTCAAGGAATTCTTAATCTTCTCATACGTATGTGAAAGGAGCACATGAAAAAGGAAAGAGAAATACTATCACATAACCCAAAAATTTCATCCCTAAGTACATAAAGCACAGATTGAAACAGAGTCTGGTATACAAATCACAGCATGAGTCACAACAGTTTAAAAGTAAAGTATTTAACAGATGAACAGAAAAAATGTGAGACATACACAGTCAGATACTACCCAGTCGGTAGCAAAAATAAAGCCTTCAAATATGCTACAATACTAATAGAACTTTGCTGGGTGAAACAGTCATAAAATTAAAAATACTGTATGATATGAAAAGGTAAGAAAAGACAAGTGTATTGAGATACCAACATTTCTTAAAGCTTATTAGGGGCAAAAAAGAGGAGTAAAGGAAATTGTTATTACTTATGGAGTATTAAGTTTTGGTTTATGGTACTGGAAAAATTTCACTGATAGAGATTTAAAGCTAATTCACCTAAATGCCAGCAGGTTGACATCTGTAAAAGCTGAATTGCCAAGAGTTGTGAGAGAGATTCATTTACAGTATCCTACCCTCATCCCCCCCAAAAAAGGGGAGCTGCTGACACTGCTTATATACAAACACTTGATGAGATTTGATTCCTTAGTTTGGAGGTTTAGGGTTATGGTTTCATGAGGCATCTCCCAGTCTATTGGGCCAATAAAACACTAGTGTATTTATTTGAAACAGGTAATTTTCCTAAACCATGAATGTCCCAATACAGCATTCTTATTTGTCAAAGAAAAGGCCCCTTTCACAAATACACAGCTTCTGAATCCCACCAAGTACACTTTTACCTTAAAGAAAAATAATACCTCAATAAAAATGTTTATATTTTCACCAAATAATGATTCAACTGAAGTAAAACTTTGAGAAATTACTAAAACCCTAAGAAAAATAAAGGGTTAGAACTACATCTATCAAGGCTTGAATTAAATTAAAAATTTTTAAGAATAGGATAATTTAAGAATTGCACTGCTGACCCAAAGGCCAGCAGCTCTGAGGGATATTTTTTTTTTATAAAAAAACGATAATTTAGAAAAGAAAATCAAAGAAAAATATCTTTTAATTTTTAGTTAACAAAAGGTTCTCTTTTTCTTAGCTTTCCCCAAACTCTATGTTTTATGTACAGATCTATTTTTATAAAAAGCTACTTTAACTTACCATTCCACTGGAATTATTTATTCCATTCATATTAATTTTTGTTACAAATCTAACTGATGGAGGAGCTTCTGGATATTTAGATCCACATTCTACTTTTAGGCTATATATTCTGTTTTCATAATTTGTCTGAAAGGAAAAAAAAAGGGCAATCCAAATTACAACACCTAAAATAATAATGTCCAAGTGATAATAAATAAGTACAGTGTAAGTACACACAGTATTAATATATTAGTCAGAAAAAGCTCAAACTTCTTCATTAAAATATGTAAACTTCTTCATTAAAATATGTTTGAATTCTATGGTTAGAAAATATGCAGTAAACATAGTTAAAGGCAGCAATTTTATAATATAACCCTATATAGTAATATCAATCTCAGCAGAATTTGCTTTTCTTGGGGGTCTTATAGATACAAGGTGTCTAACAAATGAAAAATGGAAAAATACTTATTCTTTATTTTGCTAAATGTTTACACTGTGGAATGAGGGCTTACTAGATTTATCACTCATGTAAAGGTTCTGGCTTGTCTAGGACAGTCCGGTATATTCCCACTGCATCAGTGTTTATTAACAGTGCCACTTACACTCTCAAAAGGATCTGGTTGGACAACAAATTAAACATGTGCTACTTATACAATCTCTCTCTCACTGTCCTTGAGTGGGAATAACCTCATAGCTGACTTGTCATCAGGTTTCCAAGGCTATGAAGAGCACAGGAGAGAACAGCCCATCTTTCTCCCTTGGAATCCTTGCTGGTGAATTTGGCCAGAAAAGTAAGGCCTTTGGGTCAGCAGCACAGTTCCATACAGACTATACACTAGAGCTCGCTCCTATTATGTGACAATCAATAAATTCTGGAAAAAGAAAAAATATCACTTTACAGCAATACAATGTAATTCTTTACTTCCTATTTACATTTGTAATGTATTTATTTCTACTTTTAAATGGGATGTCATATTAAAAGCACCCGTTTTAAAGTTCCTAGATTTGTGATGGCACTCTGGTTGTGTATGCCAAAATGGGCTGCGTTGCTAATCCATGCCCCACGGCTCTTACAGTTTTAGTCTAACAGGTGCTCCTTGGAATAAAGTTGGGCATTCTCCTCCCACTATGATTTATGTCTCAGAAACTCAATGAACAATGGCTATGAGTCAGGACCAAGGCCACAGCAATAAACTAAACTGAGACTATTTGTGTTATTGCATGCAATCAAGCCAATGTTGATTCCAAGCAACCCTATATGTAGGGATGCTAAAGGAAGAGATCGCAATTCAAATCTACTAGCCTCTCTGTAGGGGAAAAATGGAGAGTCACTTCCCATAAAGAGTTATACTCAGAAACCCAACCGAGGAACAATGGCAGTGGATTTTGTTTGGTTTACAGGGTTTCCTAGGTCATAATCTTTTCAAAGTAGATCACTAGGCCTTTTCTGTAGAGGTGTCACTGAGAGGGTTCTCACTGCCAACCATGCAGTTAGCAATAGAGAATCTAACCACTGCAACACCATGAAGCCTTCAAAGGCCAAGGGAGGTAGGAGCTGAATATACAGTCTTCTGATCCAGAGTTAAATACATTATTCTGTGCACTGCATGTTCCTACCTCTGTTGGTAACTTGATTAAACATCTAGCTGCTAACCAAAAAGCTGGCAGATGGAACCCACGCAGGCGCCACCGGAACAAAAAGACTTGACAATCTACTCTTATAAAGATTATAGCGAAGGAAACTCTATTGGGCAGTTCTACTGTCAAACAGGGTCACTGTATATGGGAATCTACTCAGCAGCTTCCAACTATAATGAGCATCAAGGCTTATTTTTCTGGCTTTAACGAACTCTTCTTCCTCCTTGTGTTTCTTTTTCTTATACTGCTCATTAACTGTAACATTAAATAGAAAAGTGAAAAATGAACCATGGCAAAACCCTGCTGCTGTTTATTTAAAATGAAGAGAGAATACAAATTACAGCATGGATGATGCCTGAAGACATTAAGTGAGTAAACATTCACAAAAGGACAAATCTCATATGATCTCACTTACATAAAGAGACCAAAGGAGTTCTGTAGGGAAATGCATTGCTGACCCAAAGGTGGTGCCTCTCTAGCAGTTCAAATCTACCACATCTTCAAGGGAGAAACATTAGCAATATATTCCCAAGTGATTTACAGCCTCCTGGAGGGTTCTGACTTGAAAGCAATGAGGTTGAGTTTTTTGATAAAATGACCAACATTTAGGATTAGTTTACCAAGAGTGGAAAGAAGAGAGAAACTGATAGATTGAAAGTGTAAGAGAGGCACTGCCTTAGGAGAGTAGGGCACCTGAGCTTTCTGAGAGTAGCTGTTGACACTGCTTACGTTCCACCAAACACCTCATGGGATGTGGTTCTTTGGTTTGGAGATTTAAGGTCATGCATTCCAGTAAACTGGCCTTATACTGTGTTTGGGGCTTCTGTTCTACTTCCTCATTTGTTAAAACCTAGGACTCTTAAAAGTTTGCAAGCCAGTTATCCAAGGTGCATTTGGTCTCTATTCATCCAGATCAACAGGAGGAGAGGAAGGGGTTGGAGTAGTAAACAGACATATGGCCAATTGTCTCCAGGAACTAAATTCACCCTTTATTATGTGATCAGATCAGGATTGTGTGTGGCTACCGTTACTGAGCAATCTGATCCAAGATTCTATAGAGAAACTTTAATACATATGAAGATGTAAAACTGATTTTCATACTGTCATGAAATTCAGATTTTCTGAAGACATGGTAGCTAAATTAATTCCTGAAATTTCTGTCCCGAGATAATGCTTAAATTTTCAAACAAAAAAAGTCCTTAAGGTCTTTATACCAAGCAATAATTAGCTTCTGGCTTGATCATGATGTTCTTTTAAGATTTATCACTGGGATCCAACCTACAACAGGAACTCATAATATTAGGCAGGAAACATTTTGTTGTATGCTGCTTAGTCAGAACCGACTTAACAGCTGCTTCCAGAGGGTTTTGGAGAGGCAATAAATCACACAGGAGGAGACAGCCCATCCTTCTGAAGAGTAGCTGACAGATTAGAGCCTTGTACCTTTGGGAATGCAGTACCTTGTACCTTTGGGATTCTCACCAATGACCACCAGAGTTCCCTAGATAGGAACCTGTTGTTGATAGGTGCCAATGAGTCAAATATGACTCACAGAAACTCTATGAACAATATAAATCCTATCCTAGGCCAACCTCATCAACTCCTAATACACTCAAACTCATTGCTGCTGTCACTGTGTCCATGTACCTGGTCAAGAGTCTTCCTCTCCTTCCTCCACCTTTCCAAGCATGTCCCTTTCCAAGGAACAGCCTCTCCTAGCAACATGCCCGAAGTATGCAAGGAGAAGTTTTATCACCTTTGCCTCCAAGGAGTACACTGGCTGCACCTTAGAGGATAGTAAATTTATGATAACGAGGGAGAAATTGAAGGTGAGAATGGCTGCACAACTTGAAGAATATAATCACTAATAATGAATTTTTTATGTACAAACTGTTGAAATGTTGTATGTTTTGCTGTGTATATGCTCAACAGCGAGAACAAAACCAAAAATAAATTCTTAAAAACAACATGAAGGGAAGAGGGAGAAAAATTCTTTCTGTGTAGATTTTACTTACAAAAATTGACTACAGTTCTTTTCCCTGTCATAAGAACTAACCCCCAGAAGGAGGTCAGATTTGGATATTAAATTATTACATCATTTAAAATGTAAGCAGCCTTGAACATATGTAACTACTTTTTAAAAGAAATCATGTAGTTTTATAGTTCTCTAATCTAGATGTCTATTAGAATCCCTACATTAAAAGTAAAAAAAAAAAACAAAAAACAAACAAACAAAAAAAACCAAACCACCAAATATTAGCATCTCAGAAATTCTCTAGTATCAAAATACCCAAAGTATGTGAAAGTGGGCTATCTCCTCTCACACGATTTACAACCTCAGAAACCAAATGGAGGGTCAGCTATGAATTGGTTCCGACTTGATGACAATGACTTTGACTTAGGGACTGTTATAACTACCAGCCTAAAGAAAGGAGAATTAGAGAGGGATGTACAGGACAAAGTAAATGAATGGTGACTAGAACTTGGTTTGGGGAAGAATTTTGGGCTTCTTTCCAACATCCCAACTAAGTGAGACAGGTACTGCTAGATCCAGGCCTTGGAGATTGGAAGACCTACTGTAGAAGGATATCAGTGAGGCAGAAGACAGTCTCTACTCCAAACTTCTCTAAGGACAAAGGACCAGGAGAAATCCAAAGGGGAGAGAACACTGTACTAATGGCCAGGTATAAGAGAATCCTGTAGTCCAGGAAAGGCAGCTGGCCTAAGTAGTGGTCCTGTTAACTTCTGTGGATGAAAAATAAACACAGGATTGCAGCTCTACAACTGGGAAATTTGCTGTGAAACAGTACTCTGAACTCTAAAGAGCTCACAAACCACACAAACCAGCTTCAAGGCATTTTTAAGGTATGAGCCAATGGAAGAAAGGGAAATCACTTCTAATTTACCCAGTCATAAAACCAGAATTTTCATAAATTCTAAGTATCTGCTGTCAAACAAGGCCATATTAATAATGTTCACGATGTAATAAATACTAAATCATATAGCATATAAAGAATTCTAGCCATCAATACTCTGCTTCCTAAAATACTTTATGGAAAAATTGGGAGTAGGCTACAGAAGAGAAAGCATTAGTTAGTAGTATGCATGAATTTTGCAAAGGAGTATCTGAAAATATTACAATTCAATTTAATATGGTTAAATCGTTTTATAATAATTATGAGGAAATGTAAACTCTATCCAACAACAGTTGAAATCCTCTCCTATATAAAATTAAAGAATGGAAAAACTCCTTCAAATGCATATTCTTTCAACAAGTCAACAAGAATGTAAGTACACATTATAGAATAAATGCCAAGGCGTGTAGTAAATGGAATTTTTAAGCAAGAAATGTAATGGAAAGGAAAAAAATATTCCTGGCCTAGAAAAAAAAAAAATCAAAAAACTATAAAGCACAATGAATTCATTGGCAACAGCAGTACTAAAAGATACATAGAAAAACACAGACTTTTTCATTTTTTAATAGATTAAAAAAACTGAAGACTACAGCATTTACACTTATGTCAAAGACTCAAGAGAAACATGCAAGCAATAAAAATCCATTTCTAAACCTTTGGTTACGTATAAGTGGATTCACTTACCTCTAACATCAAGTCAGAACCCACTCAAAGCTGACCTTCCTATGGGCTTTCTGAGGCTGAAAATCACACAGGAGGACACTCAAAGCTGACCTTCCTATGGGCTTTCTGAGGCTGAAAATCACACAGGAGGATAACGCTCTTCTCTCTCCCTCAGAGCTAGTAGTGGATCTAAGTGGCCACAAAGCGTACCCTCCTTGGGTTAGCAGCACACATCCCTTGGGACTACATCACAGTTTCCCTCCAGAGCTCTCTCCAAATATACTGTTCTTGTTTGGTGTTGTCAAGTTTGACTAAAAGCGACTCAATCAATGAGCAAGACTTGAACCTTGTCCTATCTTGTGTCATCTTTATCACCTGTGATATACTTGAGCCCACTGCGGCTATCACTGTGTTAATCCATCTCATTGGGGGTCTTCCTCTCTTTCACAGACCCTCCATATTTCCAAGCATGATGCTCTTTTCCCAGGAACAGCCTCTCCTAGTAACATGCCCCAAGAGTGAAAGACAAAATTTCACCATCCTTGTCTCCAAGAAGCACTATGGCTACATTTTTTCTAAGACTTATCTCTTACTACTTATAACAAAATAAATCATTTGTTCTTCCTAAATATCCTCTTCGTTTCCTTGCCTTTCTCCTCTCTATGTGGAATGTTCTAACAATCATCAAACACATTCTGAAATTCTAGTCTTTTGCAATACATTCCAAAGGTAACTCCCTCTATTGCTGAACATTCCTTAATTATTTAAAATAGAAGCAGCACATTGTAAAGCCCCATAAGTGAACTTTTTCTGTTATATTTAAAATCTATTTAAAGACTGCTAATTACCATTTCCTCAATCTTCCAGATAAAAATCAAGCATTATACTATATACACAGAAAATCAGTAATATACAAAATTAACAAAAATATTCAATTAAGTATTACTCTTTAATAAAAACATTATAAACAAATCACTCTTAAAGTTATAAAACATATTAACAGAAAAAAAAATATAATTTATAGCACCTACCCTTGGTGGTCCAATAATCATTCCTGTCCACCTTGTAAGTGTCATATCTTCATCATCTTCAAGGCCCCACCTAACCATACCATCGCCTACTCCTTTTTGTCCTTCTTCAAGTTCTTCCAACAAACGAAAATTACGAGGAACTTTCACTCCTGTACAAATCAATGGTAATGCAAAAGGCTCAACACGGTTAACTTTCTCCAACTTGAATATTTCAAGTTATTCCTCAAAATCCCCTTTTAAAAACATTCTGTTCCAGAAAATGCTAAATCTAAACACTCTAAAAATGCACCCACTAAAGCAAGCACTGGACCAAACATTAACAAGATTGGACACGCATAGAAATTCCTAATGGATTAATTTATACTAGAATAAATAAGTCATTGTAAAGTGAGACTGTATCTGAAGTTTCTGTTCCTTTATCAAATAAACATACATTATCAGAAAGTTTCTGAGCTAAATGTCATCAACATATACTATAATTATTTAGTATAAATTACATTCCATCTTAGAAAACAAAAAGTTGTGTTTTGTTTTTTTGGTTGGGGTTGTTTTTGTTTTTGTTTTTCAGAATGCTTCAGAATCCTGTCCAGCCTCTAAAATCCTGCTCAGCTCCTGCCCAGGATTAGTTCTCTACACTTGCCCCATTGGAGTTCTACTTTTCCTGAGCCACCACTATCATTTCACATAATCAATTGGGGAGATAGTTGACTAAAGAGCAAATTTCCTTATATTCCTAATAATTTCCTAAAACACTCTTTTATTGCTTGACACTCCCTTCACTGTCTAAACAAGAAAGTTCTTCACAATTGATTAGCCCTTACATGCTTCTACTCCACTTCAAAGACATCTGTTAAATTTCATCACTTTTATTTCTAAAATCTTAAAACAAAGACCTGCACACTAAGAATCTTCATTCTCAGTGAACCTATTCTTGCCATCATTTTGACCTTTTACAACTAAACTTCAAGAATTCAAGTCTTCATAATCTCCCCCAGGAATATGAGCCCAGAGACTCTATCAAAGGATGTACTCTACAGTCTAGAATGCCTACAACCTAATTACTGCCTACTTAAATTTTTTAAAAAATCAAATTCCTTCAGAATTTTCTATAGCACATACATACCTAAAAACATACAAGAGTCTGAAAGAAAAAAAGATCTCTCTTTGAAAGTAACTGTCATTTTTAGTAATTTACATGTTAAACCCCCAAACACCTTTTACTTACTAATTCATAGCAAACTTTTAATATAAAAATCCAGTAAATTTCATGATAAAGATCTCTTCAAGAGCAAAAGAGAACCTACAGCAGTAGCAAAGTTCAACAGGGCAGCAAACAACAAATGCTGGCGAGTTTGTGGAGAGCTCGGAATTCTTATTTGCTGCTGGTGGGAATGTAAAATGGTACAATCACTATGGAAAGTGGTCTGGCACTTTCTCAAAAAGTTAGAAATAAAAAACAACTATGAGACATCATCTCACCCTAGAAACAACAGCAAAGTTCAACAGAGCACCAAACAACAATGCTGGTGAAGTTATGGAGAGTAGTAGAACTCTTAATCACTTTTGGTGATAGTGTAAAATGGTTCAATTAATATGGAACGAGGTCTAGTGCTTTCTCAAAAAGTTAGAAACAGAAATACCATTTGACCCAGCAATTCTACTACTGGGAATATACCCTAAAAAAACCAGAGCTGCAACTCAGAAAGTTATGAAATAGTTATTAAAACACCTACTGCTACATTATTCACAATAGCAAAGAGACAGAAGTAACCCCAAGTGCCAATCAACAGACAAACGGATTGAAAAAATAGCTGGTACATTCACATAATGGAATTATCATGCTGCAATGAAAAACCATTGGCCAATAAAACACTACACAACATGGGTGTGGGTGAGCCTGGAGACATTGTGCTGAGTGAAATATCTCAGTCACAATAGGTCAAATACTGTCTAACACTGCTGTTATAAAACAGAACTGATGTGGGGGGATTGTGAGGTGAACTGGAAAAGATAGATAATGAACAATGCACTGGAAGAGATGAGGGTAAGAACTGTTTGAAAAGAATATATGATTAGGCATTTTATATATGACAACAATGTAGAACGAGAGGCACACTGAAAAGTGCATGGGGGAGGGCACAGAACAGTGTACAACATAAATGAGTTTAAAAAATAAAAAAAGAGAACCTATAGACTAGGAATATGACATATTTGATGACATATTTGATAAGGGACTTATTCCTAACACTTACAGAAAACTCACACATCTTAAAAAGACATACAGACCAATTAAAAATGGAAAGAGTACATGAAAAAATATTTTACCAAAGGCGGCAGACAATCAGATGGTCAACTCATGAAGAAATGTCCAAAATCATTAGCTACTGCTGCTGTTACATGGCATCAAGTCTGTTACCAAACATAGCAATCCTACTAATAATAGATTGGACCTCTGTCCCTTTTTCACCATCCTCACTACCTCCATTATGCCTAAGCCAATTTCTACAGTCATTGTGTCAATTTCATTTATGGATTTCTCTGACCCTCTCTGCTTTTTCAGCATGATGTCTTTTTCCAAACACAAGCCCCACCCAACAATTTGCGGCAGTGTATGCAAAGAAGCTTCACCATCCCTGCTTCCAAGGAGTACCCTGATTGCAATTACTCCAAGAACAGAGGGGTGGTTTTTGGTTTTGTTTTTTCAAGTCATTGGATACTCAGCACTCTTCTATAACACCACAATTCAAAGGCATCAATTTGTCTCTGGTCATCCTTATTCAAGGTCCAACTTTTAAGACGCATATGAAGCCACTGAAAATACCATGGCTTGGATAAAGACTCACTACTGTCTATCACCTGAGAGCCTTTTGACAAAATTTTCCCAAAGCAACGTATCTTTTGATTTCATGACTGCTACTACTTGGGTTATGCTGTCAGGCTGGGCCAATCCTTAGAAAGATAATATGCTGGGCAACTGAGGAGGTCAGTGAATGAGAGGAAGATGCAGTAATCCCACTACTAAGTTTGTGACACAAGTAAGAGCTGTGACAAAAACCACATGCATACCTATATTCACTGCAGCATTTGCAACAGCAAAGAAATGAAAACAACCCCAAGTGTCCATCAATAGACAGATTGCTAAAAAAAAAAACCAAAAAACCCTGTAAATAGATTCATTCATGCAAACAGAGTAAAAAGCTATCCTAAAAAATGTTAAAATAATTCATGAAAAACTGTAGAACATTGGTGGATCTACAGGAAATTCGGCCGAATTACCTAAGAACAATTATGATAAGACCACTATTATAAAAAGTGAAAGACAGGATCATTTTTTGATGATTACTAGGGAGGGGAAGGGGCAAAACTTGGTGAACAGATAAGCTGGGTGAAGGGAAAGCCAATACACAGTAAGAAGTTAATCAGTCACTGCAATTAATTAATTACACTGATCAACTGTACCTGATGTTATGAAACAAAATGTACATGAATGAGTAAATGAAAACCAGTATGATTTGTAAACTTTCACTCAATTTTTTTAAAAAAGCTATCCACTTTGTAGGTGATTCACAGAGTGTGGAAATTATAGAACAATATCATTGATTTCACAGGCAAGCAAGATTATGCTGAAGAGTATCCAAAAACGACTGAAAACAGCACATGAGAGAACTGCCAGAAGTCCAGGCTGTGTTTAGAAGGGGTCGTGGTATTAGGGATATTGTAACTAATGTTAGGTGGATCTTAGCTGAAAGCAGGGAATACCAGATAAATTTCTGTGCTTCACTTCTTATGTAACGGTATCTGTGTGGATCACAACAAACTGTGGCTAACTTTGAGAAAAATGGTAATCCCAGAACACTCAATTGTGCTAATGTGAAACCAGTATAGGACCAGGAGGCAGTCATCAGAACAGAGCAAGGAAAACACTGCATGGTTGAAAATTGGGAAGGGTGTACACTAGGGATGTGTCCTATCTCCATACCTTTTCAACCTATATGTAGAACAGATTATTCAGGAGGCTGGGCTCTATGAGAAGTGTGGCATCAGGATTAGTGTAAGATTCATCAACAATCTGTGTTATACAGATGACACAACCCTGCTTGTTAAAACTGAGGAGGACCTGAAGTACTTACTGCAGAGGGTCAACGACTGCAGCTTTCAATATGGATTGAGGCTCAATATTAAGATGACAAAGGTTCTCACCACTGGGCCAACTGGCAGCATCATGATGGATGATGATTGAGATGGTTCACAACTGTAGCCTGCTCAGCTCCACAGCCAACACTCTTAGCACCAGCAGCCAGGAAATTAAAAGACGTATGGCGATGAGACTGTTAGGGACCTCTCTAAGGTACTCAGAAGCAACAGTGTCTCTCTGGAGACTAAGGTGCGCCTGATACAGGCCATGGCCTTTGCAATCGCTTGTTATGCATCAGAGAGTTGGACAATGACTAGGGAGGACAGAAGGAGAGTGGATGCTTTTGAGCTGTGGTGCTGGAGA